AATAAATCCCTTTCCATAACATTCTCTTTATCCGTTCCTAGCTGGTGGAATCATCTTCCCACCCCTATTCGGAATGCTGAATCCCTGACAATTTTCAAACAACAACAGCTGAAAACTCATCTCTTTAAAGCTACTTGACTTCGTTCTAAAAAAAAAAAAAACACTTTGTCTTTCTCTTTATTTTTTCCTTCCCTTTCTAGCTTGTAATTATTTGAACAATGCCTGAAACTTGGTATTACAAGCACTTCCTGTGTCTGTTTGCCTCTTTAAGAAGAATCGCTTTTATGTATTCCCCAATTGTAAGTCGCTTTGGATAAAAGCATCTGCAAAATGACTAAATGTAAATGTATTTATATTTATTTTATTTTTATATTTGTTATTTTTATTATTTTTTATTTATTTATCTATTTTATTTTATATAATGCTTATTTAAATTCCATGTTATATATCATTGTATTAAATTAATATTTATATATTATTATCACACTATTACAACAAAACTAACTAACTTAGTAACTTCAACTAAATTGATGCATCAATTCTTAAAGAGGAGCAAATGTTGGTGTTTAAAAAGAAGCCACTATTACGATCATGAGACTGTGTATAACATACGCGCACTGTTTCCAGGGCTTTGACTTTCTTGTACAGGCCACTGTTGATGTCGTTCAGGTTGAAGAGTGGATCTCCTGCGATCTTGGCCAGCAAGTCCCTGGAAAAGTTGCTGACGTAGCTTTTACTGAAGTCCCACTTCCTGAGGATCTTTCCTGGCACAACGGCCTGCGCGTTCTCATGACAGCACTGGCAAAAGTAGCGGCCCAGATACTGACAGTACCTCAGCCTCTTGATGTAGTCTATTACACAGAGAAACCACCAGCGTAAACCCACAGAGTCAAGGAAATCAAGCTGTATTTGTACAACGCATGTGTGTTGTTGTACCTGGATCGATGCGAATGCCGCAGCCGGCGCAGCGGTAGTTCTGTTTGGCCACCACCACTTTCCTCCTGACAGATCAATGGAGAGATACATACATTACAGAATCATGTCATGAAGGGAATGAAGCTGAACACTGATGGAGATGGTCTCACTTTGGAGGAGGGTGGATGTTGAAGATGATCTGTGGTCTGGGAGGAGCCCACTCCAAATTCCCTCGCACTCGGATGCGTAACTTGTAAATGTCTGCGTGTTCTCCATCGTCAGGTGAAATGGGAAGAGAATCTGGTATTGGAAGAAGCTTTAAAACAAAATAACAGCAACAAAAAGCACGTGCTAAAATTAGCAGAAATATAGACATTTTCAGTTACAATCAAAATGTAAGGCAAGACACTATGGGCTTTTTCCTGCACTTATAAAATTAGAGATTTTGAGCTGGTTTTGAGTCCATAAGAAAACAGGAAAGATACACATTTAAGTGTTTATTTTATTACACTTGATCTATTTGCATCTGGAGATTTTAATTACAATGCGCTCTTTTAAAGATTTAAAGGAATAGTTCACCCAAAAATGAAAATTAGCCTATGATTTACTCACATTCTAAGTGTTTATGACTTTCTTCTTTCATACGAATACAATCCGAGTTATATTTAAAAATGTCCTGGCTCTTCCAAGCTTTATAATGACAGTGAATGGGTGTCGAGAATTTGAAGCCCAAAAAAGTGCATCTATTCAACATAAAAAAAGTGCTCCAGACGGCTCCAGGGGGTTAATACAGGCCTTCTGAAGCGAATTAATGCATTTGTGTAAGAAAAATATCCATATTTAAAACTTTATAAACCGTAATCTCAAGCCACCCAGAACAGCTTGCGCGTATGACAGTTAGCGTAAACTAGATATTACTGTTTATAAAATTTAAAATATGGATATTTTTTCTTACACAAAAGCACTGATTCACTTCAGAAGGCCTTTATTAACCCCCTGGCTGGAGCACTTTTTATGATGAATGGATGCACTTTTTTTGGGCTTCAAAATCTCGACACCCATTCACTGTCATTATAAAACTTGGAAGAGCCAGGATATTTTTTTTTAATATAACTCTGATTGTATTCGTCTGAAAGAAAAAAGTCATATACACCTAGGATGGCTTGAGAGTAGGGCTGTGCAAATAATCGAATGCGATATTCATGCGCATCTCGTCAGTAAAGCCGGTTCTGTGATTAGTAGTAAATATCCAGCATGTGCTTTTCAGATGGAGCAGCATTTACTACACAGAGCCATAGTTCACTGACAAGCTATGCAATATTTTGATACCAACTTTTTATTTTATTTTGACAGTATCAACTGCGCTGTCAAGTAAGCAATGCTGAAACTGATATGTTTTGTGTGTGTGTGCACCGGCGCGATTACTTCAACTGTTTCCTTATACCAGCAGAATCAACTTAAAACACTCCTATTGTCTTATAAATAATGCATCACTGTAAAAGGTGTACTTTTATTTGTGTACACTCACAATGAAAACAAAACATTGTGCTTTTGTAAAATATAGAAAACAAATAGGATGTCGCTTTCTGCCATTTGAGTTTCCTTTCTGTGAACAAATTAAGCGTGTCACAAAAATGAACAAACTCAGCTTATATAGGCTACGTTACGTGTCACACTGTTTTTTTCCCTGGTTTATCTGTTAACTAACTAAATCAAATATATTTCAAGTAATTATTCCTTATGTATATACGTACAGCAGATTTTATACATATAACAATTTAATATAATATTTCATATTTGCACGTCTAGGTGGAAAAAATAAAAATTTGTACTACTGTCTGTTAAATTAAATTAAATTAAAAGAAACCTAGCATAGTAGATTCTTTTTTTCTCATGTTGTACCGAAATCATATCGAACCGTGACATCTGTATACCGTTACACCCCTACTATACAAATATATCAACCGTTACTTTCCAATACGGTCAGTATCGCAGAAATATGCATACAGTGTATTTCAGGCCTAAGGATGTAGAGAAGTCATGGTACTTTTTGAGGGGCGTCATGCTCTGGAACCAGCCAGTCGAGCTCTGAGGCGGCGGGCAGCTGCATGCCCTCAAACTGTCTGAGGAGACCCATCGCCACTGACTCTGCGGAGTTTGACTGTAGCATTGATGGAGAGCTGAGCGAACAGACATTACAGCAGATCACAAATCAGTTCTGGATACCACTCAAAACCACTGGACTTCATGACCACAAAAAGATCAGCCAAAACAAAGACAGGTTTGTGATGTTCTTACAAGGAGTCAGACCTGAGGAAGGACCTGCTGCTGGACGCACTGCGTTTGATGTCTGCATCTGACAACAATGAGAATAAAACAGTTCAAACTTTCTCCAATGAGATCTACTGTATAAGAAGAGCTATATACCAGTGACATACCAATAAATCAGACATTATTTGGCATTTTTACATCATTGTATGCTTGGCTGAGCAACACTTAGCGTCCCTAAACTATTTGGAGAAATCTGAATAATTAAAGGGTTACTCCACCCCAAAATGAAAATTATGTCATTAATTACTAACCCTCACGTCGTTCCAAACCCATAAGACCTCCGTTCATCTCACACAAATTAAGGCTACGTTCACACAGTCAGTTTTTGGGGTTGATAACCGCATTTTCTTTACAGGTGTGAGTCTCGAAATGTCCCGTTCACACAGCAGCTTACAGTTGTGTTTGGAATACCATCTGTATGAACGTGCAACCGGAGTCAAGCCCGTATTCCTTACCAGTAATCATAGCGACAGTGACCAAAGTAAAATCAAAGATGGCGACGTCCAAAAACTGAAAGTCTTACACTTTCTGACACGACAAGAGTCCAATCAAGGCGCGAGTTCATCCGTCAAATCTTCATTAACCGACAGCACCTTTTAAATTTGGGTGGAGAGCGCAGCATTTGAATCGCTGACCCCCCTAAAGGCGGCTTGAGCCCCCCTGATGGACGTCAAAACTAGATGTAGGGGGGGTCATATAGAAACACATAATATGTATAATATGGAGATTTACTTGTAAATATTAATATGTATTTCTATAGCTCTGACTGATTTTAAAAATGTAGTTTTGACAGCCCCTGAAATGGGTCTTACTGACATTACCTGAGCGGTTGAAGAATATGCTACAGCGCTCATTCAAAGACATGCATTTATTGCTTGGACGGAGCAAGAACACCTGTCCTGAAATGCAAGTGCAGATTCAGTCGAGTGATAAAGTTTACCCTCTTCAACTTAATGCTGATGAACTGAATTTACAGAGCAAACTATTTGCTAAAATATCCCCAACATTAACAGCAACGCTAAAATACAAGTGTGTGGTAATGTTAGTCAGATGCGCATGAAAGTTGCACGTGTTACTATAACAAACACTGCGTGTTTTCTTTCAGAATCATCTTTAGAAAGGCAAAAATAGGTTACATAAAAGTTTTTACCTACAGTAAAAATGAAGATAAGGTGTGAATAATTACATTTTAGACACATTGTCAGTAATTTTGCCAACAAAAATAAGGAGAACTGTTGTGCATCTCTGATCAACACACAGAATCCACGTTTTTAAACTAATCGAATGAATCAATGATTCAGTGAGCCATTCATAAAGGCATTCACTTGCTTCGTTTCTGAATGAATGAGCCGTTTGAACGAATCGATTGAATGAATGACTGAATCATTCACTTATTTCTGTAAAGTTGCTTTGAATTTCAAGAATTTCTGTAAAGTTGCTTTGCAACGATTTGTATCGTGAAAAGCGCTATACAAATATACTTGAATTGAACTGAATTAAGACAGGGATTTGTCACCACCTACTGGTGGTTTTAGTTTTATATTTAGAGTATTGTTTCTTTTTCAAAATAATTGTATATTTCACTAGCCTATTTATTTGTATTTTTGTATGTTGAATTAAAATATTTCTTTCTAAAGCTATACTTCTATTTCTTTCTAAAGCTACTTTTTTTGTAATGTCTATGCAGTGTTTTTTTTTTAATTAACAAAATAACTATTATCTTTAATAACAACTTTATCTTTAATTAATCGGCACATGATGTGCATGTTAATTAATTAATCTTATTAATTTGAGGTTATTTTGATTAATTAGCACATTATGTAATTAATTCGATTAAAAAAAATCAATCACTTGACAGCCCTATTTAAAACATAAGAAATACACAACTGCTGACTATGGGAGGGTCAGAGAGCTCTCATAATTCATCAAAAATATCTTAATTTGTGTTCCGAAGATGACCGAAAGACTTATGGGTTTGGGACGACATGGGGGCGAGTAATTAATGACAGAATTTTCATTTTGGGGTGGAGTAACCCTTGAAATATTGTGACATATTTTGTTAATTTATGAAAATACAATACAATAAATTTCAAAATTAATTAATTATTATTAATTTAAAATTAATAATATAAATTTGGAATCTAGTTTATATACAGTGTGTGTGTGTGTGTGTATATATATATAGAGAGAGAGAGAGAGAGAGAGAGAGATCTAATTATTAATAGTTATAGTACTATAACTTAGTTAATTCTTTACTTCTTAACTTAGATGCATTTATAAATATTAGACTTAAGTTACATTTTAAAAATCACACAAATATTTAAACATATTACATATATATTTTTTATATAGAATAATTATATGTAGTATAATAATAATTTATAAACAACTTTAAACATACTTAAATGTTACATTTTATAGGCAAACATTATTAAAATATTTTTAAGTGTGTCTGGCAAAATGTCTGGTAAAACTAAGCGAAAAAGTTTAGTTTGCAAATGCCCTGTGTCCTAATATTACATAAGTTGATAAACAAAGAGATTGAGAAAGAGATTGTGATTCATGGCACTGGTTATGAATTGAAGCATTAAGATAAGAAAACTTTAAACTCCTAAGAGATTAGGACACGTGATTGAAGCCATTCTTACATAATAATATTGTATAATTTTTGAGACACACCCATCATAATGCAGGAAAGCTGTGCTAAAGGTTGCAGGTTTATTAGCACATATAACATAACATCAAACAAGAGGCTTATATGACATGCATATTGACACATGGGATGGACACATGTGAGAGAGGAACAAGCAAAGCCGAAGAAAAAGCAGGAACAGCCACCAACTACTGCTACAGAGTCTTAAACACCTGACTCCTCTGATCCCACCATCATATCTATCAAGCAGCAAAGGCTGTGAGACCATACACACGGCTTTCCCTTTCTCTTTATCTGTCTCTGGTACCTGAGAAGAGGGACGCGAGTGACAGGGACAGGCCGCTCTGAGACACCGCCAGCAGGGACTGACCATCACTGCCATCTGAGAGACAGAGACCAGAGACTGTATCCTCAATCAGACGCTTGTTTCTGGTGTCGAACAGTTTATAAATTACAACAGGAAATCTAAACGGGCAACATCTACTTTCTTAATAAATGTCCTGGTCACTATTCATCAATGCAGAAACTGCACATTAATCAAAAATGATATTTACTTTAATATTTAATAACTGGTTTCTTCTTTGATGATTAAAAAAAGTTCAGAAGCCTGTAACATTATAAAATGTATTTACTGTCTTGTAAAGAATTTAATGTGTCCTCGCATAAGTATTCATTTTTATATTTAAAAAACCTACGGGCCCCAAACTTTATAAGGGTAGTTTATATATATTACAAATGTTATAAATATATACCTCATACACTAAAATAGTGATAGATTTATTAAGTCCAAATCATTTCTGTAAAATCTGTGTTACATTTTATGTTGTAAAAATACGTAAAAACAAAAATGTAGATCTTTATTAATATGTTCCTATATTGTGCACAAATATGAACAAATATTTTATAGCAGGTACATAAATATTGAGACTATTTTAGACTTTAATATTTGCATTAAAATGTTTTATTATGTTTTATTAAAAGGTGATTGAATCAAAATACATTATTTCTAGCCAAATATTTATTTGAAATATGTCATATGACCTTTTTTTTCATTCTTTATTCATTATATCAGGACAGTTGCACCACATGACATTTTACAACCAGGACTAATCTTGGTATCATAAAAAAGCCTAATTATTTAACATTTTAAGGGACTGTCTTTATGTGTGTTTCAGCATGTTGGTTGTACCAAATTACTTTTTTGGTTGCACAATCTGACTCTTGTGTTTTATTCAAATTTAGCAAAAATATATATTTAGCCAGTATTTCTGGCTAAATATTTCAATAATTCTTTGAAATGTCACATTATAAAGGTTAAAAGTGTTCTTTTCAATACAGTAATATGACATTTCCAAGTGCAACAAGATTTTGTTTAGAAGAACCACATAAACAAAACTTTATCCGCCCAGAATTAGAGTGAACATCTCACTTCCTAAAACACCATCTACTCCCACATTTGAAAGGTTTTTGTATCTAAACGTGTGTTAATGTAAAGTGTTCATTTTGATTTCACATTGATTTGCGTATTGAAGCTAATGTATTAAGAATAACAACACCTGCAATGACTATTCTGCTCTTTCCTGCTAAAACACACAAACAAATCAAGAAAAAAAAACTTGATTCAAAGTTACAAATTAGGGATCAAAAATAAGCATAATTAGTTAGAAATTAGTCATGTGATTGGGATGTCAACACATTTCTCATCACATGGCATTATGGGTAATGAGGGCAATCGTGAGGATGATTATACGATCACAAGCAGGAATGAGGTCAGACTTCCTGTCTGGATCTCCTACCTTTGAGCTCGATATCCTCCACATCTCTATCCGAGCCGGAGTCAGAGGGGTGAAAGGAATCCTGGGAGCTCCTCCGTGAGCCGCCACTATCCACGGATGAGGCTTCTGTGGAAAAAAAGCAATAAATATTAGTGCTGTCAAATGATTAATCGCATCCAAAATAAATGTTTTTGTTTACATAATATGTGTGTGTGCTGTGTATATTTATTATGTATATATAAATACACACTCATGCATGTATATATTTCAGAAAAATATGTTATGTTTATATATTAAATATATTTATTTATAATATATTATATGAATATAAATAGACATGTAAATATTTTCAAAATATATACTGTATGTGTGTGTGTATTTATATATACATAATAAATGTACACAGAACACACACATATATTATGCAAACAAAAACTTTTATTTTGTATGTGATTAATCACACATCCCGTTTACATTTAATTTCCCTCTTGATTGCAAATGCCCCAGTCTTACGGTTATTAGTGGAGGCCGGTGGCTTCATCCGCGTGCGGTGTATCTGCAGTCTGCGCAGACGGATTTTCTGTTTGAGCTGCTGGATTTCCGAGTCGCTGTCGCCCTCTTCCTCCGCCTCCTCCACCGGCCTGCGCATGTTACACTTCATCAGCTCGATGGCCGCGATCAGAGACTCCGAGATGCTGAAGTGGGCGTTTTCCTGCAGTGATGGGATATGAATGAGTTATGAACACCATATATATGAGACGCAGAGCACAGTGAGGAGTTTGCGCTTGCCTTTTCTAGATCAGCACAGCTGCCGAAGTCCTGCTCGGAGAGGTAGCTGATCAGACTCTGACCCTCGGACGGTCTGCGGAACAATCCGTCTGGGACACTGTTGTACTGGGTGCCGTCTGTAAGCATGAAGGCACGTTTAAGATTATGATTATTTTAATATAATTCGATGAGATATGCAAGTGTCCATGATGAAGAAAACTAAATCTAGTTAGAAATGTATAAATGTGCACTTTGTATTCATGTTTGTTTTGTATGGTTTTGGAAAACTTTTACACCATTTTTAAGAAATGTTTCAGTTAAATTACTTTAAAAATGTCATGTGGTGTAACCATCGAGTGAAAAGTACGACTTTTCCTTACGCCTCAAATATATGTGAGTGTAATGAGTCTTAATGACTTCTGTTCATTTGTTTTTTGTTGTTGTTGTTTTTACACCTATCCAAAATTACTAATTAAGAAATATCAGCTTTTTGGGAGTCGCACCACATGACATATTACAACCAGAACCGATTTTGTCATCAGAAAAAAGTTATTATCCGATATTTTAAGAGACTTGTTTTTTTCTGCATATTTCAATATGTTGGTTGTACTGTGTGACTTTTTTTGGTCGAACCACATGACTTTGATTAGATGGACAGAAGTTTTTAAAAATTAATAAGCAGTGAAGGAGCGGTGATAAAATATTTTTATAAAGAATTACAACTTTTTTTTCATTATTCATTGTGATATCAGGACAGTTGTACCACATGACATTTTATAACCTGAACTAATCTTGCCATCATATAAAGGTCAAATTATTTGATACTTTAAGAAACCGTTTTTTCCTGCATATTTCAGCATGTTGTACCACATGAATTTTGTTGCCCCACATGACTTTGATTAATTGGACAAACATTTTTAAATAAGCAGTAAAACAAAAAAAAGATTTTTTTTTTAAGTTTTTTTAATGAAAATGAAACTTTTTTTTTTTAATTTCATGTCAAACTACTTAATTCATTTTTTTTTTAATTTCATTCATTCTTCATATATCAGTATCAGTACAATATCTACAATATCAGTACAGTTGTACCACATGACATTTTACATCATTAACTAATCTTGCCGTCATTAAAATGGTCAAATGTTTCAGCATGTTGTTTGTACCACATGACTTTGATGGCCAAAATGTTTTCAAATATTAACAAGCACTAAAGCAGTTGTGTTAAATGTATTTTATTTAAAGAAAATATTAAATAAATAAAACAAAAGTGCTAATACATTTTTGACTGTTTTACTATATTCCTTCATCACAACATCAGAACATTTGTACCACCCTAAAATTTTTACTTTATGCTCACAAAAAATATCAAACTAATTTTTCAATAAAAACATGCTCTTCAGAGAAGTAGTGTATTTAGGTAACTGTAAGCATGAATTACATTTTTTATGTATTTTTCAATAAACAAATAGATAGAAAGCATCACTCACTAGATTCCATATAAAGGGAACTGTTGGTGCTGCTGTCGCTGCTCTGGGGTGAGAAAGGACCACAGCTCTTTGAAATTGGTGTAGCTGCAACAGACTCTGGGAAATACAGAAAAATAACATGCTCTTCAGAGAAGTAGTGTATTTAGGTAACTGTAAGCATGAATTACATTTTTTATGTATTTTTCAATAAACGAATAGATAGAAAGCATCACTCACTAGATTCCATATAAAGGGAACTGTTGGTGCTGCTGTCGCTGCTCTGGGGTGAGAAAGGACCACAGCTCTTTGAAATTGGTGTAGCTGCAACAGACTCTGGGAAATACAGAAAAATATGATACGAATTATGCACAAATACATGACATTAGGATAAGGAAGATAACAAATGCGTCTTCCTGGTGCAGGATCTGATCCATGATAAACACCGGTTAAAATTGAGATCTACACAAAGGAAACTCTACATGTAGATCTATCTACACAACATGTAGTGTTTGAATGTTTATAACTGATAACACAATGGCCAAAAAACAGAGAAGACTAGGAAAGGAAAATGAAATATTAAAAACTTTCCAGGCACAACTGTGTCAAATTTCACTAAATAGAAATAAGAACAAATGGAATGGCACAGGATAGGAATGTTGTGCAACAGCTTGACAAACGATGCCAAAAGCTGAAGAAAAAAGAGAAACAAAATAAAAAGCGGCAACAGCGAATCATGCATGGGTAACAGAAACGGAGGGGTGGGCGAGATGCAGCACCACGGCACTGCAAACCTGCGACGGGGTCCTCGATAATAATGGTGATTTTCCTGTGATTCCCTCCTTTCCATACAGAGAAGAAAAAGAGAAAGAATAGTTGAAGCAGAGAAAATATCACCCTGATCCACAGCAAGACCAAAGAGCACAAGAGGTACAACAGCTAGAAGCAAGGTGTGGAGATCTGTTTTAAAATTTTTAATTGCAGATGTGTATGGGAATGCCATATTTTTTTATTAAAATCAAGCGTGTTAACATTATAGATCATTTAAAGTGAGCGAACACTGCCAATTGGACTTTCATAATCTGATGTATTTTTAGGTGAAACATGACAGAAAAATTAAAAAAGTAGAGCAGGACTTGATTTTATCAATTATAAACTAAATGATTCATGAACAAATGTGGAACAAAGGTTATATTTTTGTAAAACTGATAAAGATTTTTGTACATTTTTACATTTTAATTTAATATTGCCATTTGTTTTAAATATTAAGAAAGTAAATAGGATCTATTTTAAGCTATATATAATTTGACAGCTTGAACACTCAAAATTAATCTTGTGGAAACTTTGCGTTACCATGATAAAGGCCCTTTAAACCTTTCAGCAGGCTCCTCCCCCTAGTGGGCAGTGTCAAGTGTCATATTACAAAATGTACCTACATTTTATAATCAAAACTTTTTCTAATCTTAACAAAAAATATTTTAGTGTTTATGTTGTGAAAGAATTGCATACATTTCTGACAGGAAAATGCATCAAAAATAAGAAAAATTGGAGTTTATGGTCAACTTTTTGCTATAGCACCTAAACAAAATGTCATAGGAACCTACATTTTTTTAATGTCAACTTCAAATTTGGAACATATCTTAGACATGTGACTTTGATTTTACAGCATTTTTAGATTCCAAAATATTTTCTTTAATATTTCTTTTACATAAAATATAAAAATTTTAATACGTTTTCACTTTAAATGCTCAAGCTCTTTTAAGTCGGGTGGATTATGATTGACGTTTTTATTGTTCAATAGCAAAAAAATGACAAATGAAAAAGCCTTCAAAACGTCCAACCGAGGTGCTTATAATATGACAAAACTAATTGAATTTGTATTGTGTAAATTTGAATTATTGACAAGTGTCATTTAACAAAACTGAAAATTATGTGGCATTTAACATAGTTCTGAAATAGATTTTTTTGAACTTGAATATTAAACATTTGAAATTTAAAACAACTGAATATTTTTATGGCAGAGTTTTACAGACATGCATTTTCAAACAGCGAAGACTACAAATATCCAGTTTTTAAAAATACAGTTTCAAGTTTTCAAGATAAAGAGGAAATTCAAAATTCTAAAATTCATTGCAGAAATTCAGATCGTACAGAAAGTAGGTGAGAGGTAATACACAGGGAAAAGAAGATGATCTCCGAAAAGTCAAACAAAGCATTTTGGCCAATTAGGAGTTTTCTGGCGTGAGCGTGCGGTTTAAGATCTACCTGTTCATGAATCGCCCAGAGGTAGCCTAAGTGATTCTTAAACATTTATGGTTTATATACTTATATGTTAGGTTAGCATTCTCAGCATGTGAAACCTTTGTCTAAGCCAGTGGTTCTCAACCTTTTTTACTCCAAGGCCCCACTCCTCTCCAAATCAATACATACTTTGCAAAAATGTCACTGCAGATATTCTTTACAACTTAAAAGTACGTAAACCTACGCACCATCTTTCTGCTTCTGCAAGATGCCCGTGTCGGACAGAGACCGGATGTGGCCCCTCGAGTGCCGCCCTGTGGTTCTCTGAGCCTCTGAGAAGGAGCAGCGGCGTGGAGGGGGCGGAGCCGAAGGAGTGTGGGCATCGCCCTGAGTCCCCATGTGTTCACTGCTCTGAGTGGAGCTGGACGAGTTGCGCCGTTTGTGCTTCCCCAGATTACCGATAGCCAGGTACTCCGGGCCGTCATCCACATCCGCTTCCACACAATTCCGGATCTCGGGCAGAGCGGGTGAGGTGGGCTCAGTGAAGGAGATCTGGGGGATTCCTGTGTCCTGGTTTCCTCTACCACAAACCCATGGAGCTCCCTGAGTACTGCTGGATGGATTGACATCTTGAAGACAAACAAAGAGATGCACTGTGATACTAAGGAACGGTCACATTTCTTCACTGCAAGCATTGCTAACTGCCCACCTTCCATCCCTAGTTTTCTCGCCAAATAACATACTGTTTTCTGGGACATTTTGTGTGTAAACAAGGCAAGCATTTAGTGTGGTAATGGAGCCACAGAGCGGCCTGTTGTTCTCTGAAACCTGCTGACCTGAGCTGCTCTTGGAGAGTGGTGTGTTGGGAAGCTCTGTAAGGCAGCTCTGGGACGTGGTGAGCCGACGAGACTCTGAACTGTCCGCAAGCCTCCAACTTCCCGTGGCCCCGGGAAACAAACATAAACTCTGACTCTTCAGCAAACCAAACGGGGACTCTTTCACATGCGAAAGCTTTAAAGACAAAAGAGATGGAAGAAATTTACATATCTGCATGTAGAAATGCATGGTTACAGTGAAGGCTAACAATGAAGTAAGATGGTGTAGTTATAATACCTACCAAAAGAGGCTAAAAGGGCTATGCTAACCAACCAAATCATGACCTTTTGAAAAACTGGATGTTATTTAACTAGCTAGCTATAAACATGTTGACATTTTAAGTAACTTGTATTGAAAATGGTGTAGTTATGTTATCTACCAGCAGGGGCTAAATAAGCCAGGGTTCCTCAATAGGCAGCCCGTGAGAGAAAAATGTTTGCTCATTTCAAATAATGCGTCATGAAAATTGAAACGCAGCATCAGAAAGCGACAAAATACAATAGAACCCATTATAATCAGTGATGCTGTCTTGGATGCGGCGCGACACGATAAATTCCTGACAGTAAACTGCTGACTCGTTCTATTTATAATGTACTGACACAAAGTTCAAATGATTTGCACTGAACAGTTTTGAGTGAGTGACTGATATCTTTGTTATGGAATACACGTGTTAGTTCGCAGCGAGTTCACAGTTTTAACGTACAAGTTTGCTTTAATTTCTTTTCAAGATCGGAGTTAAAATATCTATTGTTGCTTTTACTATGGCTATAAAGATCACGCAAAATAAATGTTCAAACTCACATTAGACACTTTTAACATTGAATAAAGCACATAACCATTACCTGATATTATCACTTTTATATTTTGTATGTTGTTCCTGCTGCGATGCCGCAGAAAATAAAAAACATTTCTAAAATAGAATCCCGTGTCACTGTCGCGGGTGGTTAGGACAAAAACTACATGGAAAAGATACTTTTTATCGTGTCACGTTTGGTTGGGACACACAGTGTTACAGTTTGATCCCCCCCCAAAGAATCTAAGCATAAAAATATTAATATATGCTGACAGATCTAATAATTGAATCTGCAGTTAGGGAAAGTGAAGAGAAGGGATCCAGTCTGGAGATGAGCAGGAACAGTTGATTTGCATGGCAGACATGGAGATCCAGATTTTTTGTTTGTTCAGTTGTTTTTAATATCCAACAGGCAAAGTTCTTCTGTATCTAAATTAGGGATGTAATGATTACCGGTTTGACGATAAATCGTGATAAAATACCCCACGGTTAGTATTACCATTTCATATTTTAATTAGCACTATAACCGTATTCGATTACCGCGATTTGAACAACTGAGGATAAATAAATACTGTCCAGCACAGGGCTCCAGAGTGCGACCAAATGGCCGCATTTTGCGCAAATTTTTTCTGCCCGTGCGACTAAATTTTGTGTGCGGTCGCACTGGCACGACATTGTTTAACTCATAAGCGCTGCATTTCTGTTGCATGTGTGAAACATCAAACGGCAAACAAAACTGAAAGGATAACGAAACCACGTGACTCGTTTCAGCTGCGCAGCGCTTCGAGTGCAGAGCCTGGTTTATACTCGGCGCATCAGGAGCGCGAAGCTGCATGCAGCAAAAATGATGCAAATATTGAGGAAAGGATGGATGGTTTTCATGCTAAAGTAAAGTAAAAGACTGCTTCTTAAACCAAAGGTGAACATGTTGGTATTCTTGTGATGAATCCATCTTTTGATTTAGTATTAAAAAGTGAAAGGTGTGTAGATCAAAAAACGGACCGAATTAGCATGCCCTGCTGTAAATCTTGACCGGTTGATGAAAAACAAGCGTATGTGGATTCTACACACTTAAACAATAAGGTGTCTAGTATTATTTATGGAGCAGATAAATACATATAAACATTTATTAAGCAATTATCATTTTGACTTGATCCTTTTCTTTATTTAAAAGCTGAAATGTGAGGTTTACCATTCATGAAACTTTTTCAAAGCTTTATTTGAACATTTGCATTAGATATATGAACATGCAATTAGATAAACTGTTGTCAGTCATGTTGTCATTTAAAATCCGGACATCATTGGCAATGTTATTGTTTTAGTTATGCAAACAAAGACTCATTTTATTTGTTGTTTGTTGATTTGAAATGTAAAACTTGGTGAAATGATATCCCTACTGGGGGAAAAAAAATCTGAATATTTATCTTGTGACCATCTTGTGACTATTTTAACAAAAGCAACAATAATATAATAATTGTAATAATAATATTATATATATATATATATATATATATATATTCGTTAGCTAGCTAGCTAGACACATGTTGACAGTTAACTTAAATTGAAAATAGTATAGTTACCACCAGGGGCTAAATAAGCTATGCTAACCAGCCAAACTATGACCTTCTGAAAACTGGATGTAGTTACCTAGCTGGCTAGACACGTTGACAGTTTAACTTAAATTGAAGTGAGATGGTATAGTGTAGTTATAGTATCTACCAGCACAGGTTAAAAGGGCTATGCTAACCAGCTAAAACCATGACCCCTTGAAAAACTGGAAGTTATTTAGCTAATTAGTTAACTAGCTAGCTATAAACTATGTTAACAATGGTATCTACCAGCAGAGGCTAAATGGGCTACGCTAACCAGTCTAATCATGAGCCCTTGGAAAGCTGGATGTTATTTAGTTAGCTATAAGCATTTTGATAGTTTAACCAAGTTAAATTGAAGTATGCTGATGTAGTATCGGTATCTACCAGCAAAAGCTAAAAGGACTATGCTAACCAGCCAAACCATGACCCCTTAAAAAACTGGATGTTACTCAGCTAGCTAGCTTTAAACATGTCAACAATTGAACTAACCGACATTTACATAATCATTTCAAATAATTCATAATCATAAAATGCAATTGAACATGTTTTTATTCCTAAGTCTAAGGGGATTTCTTTTTCAAAACTACTTATTTCTTTATCGCATATATTGATCTTGCGTCAATGGTCTCATCTGATAGGAAAGATGTTTATTGGATAGATCAATGAAAGCTCTGTGAAAAGAGGAATTTGTGCCAGACATTCAGTGAGATAACAACCAAGTGTGTGAGATCATGGACAAACACAAACACTGACTGTCATTATCCTATAAATACACATTTCACAGGACAGGTTTATGAAGGGAACTGTTTTCTGGTATAAAGACTTCAGAGGACCTCCCATTATTAAACCCTTCTCAGCTTATTACAAAAGCTTTCTATGGACTTCGGCCTCCATAAACCCAAACAAATTAATTCCTACCAGTGAAGGATATTCAAAACCTCTTTTAGATTGCCAAAGCAGTTTTATTTTACACTGCAGGGCCACTGCTGCACATGTCAGGTGCGTCAATGCTTGGAGTGTTTGGACAAAAAAGTATTTTAAATGATATATAACATAATATCACAGAAGTTAAAGACGATCACATTAAACATTGTTCTTTACGTACGTTGTTTGGTTAGGCTTCGGTTAGCAAGCTAACAGCTTAGCATAGCACTAACGGGTTGCATGCCCTTTTAAGGCAAGCCGATCGAGGGGTTTGTGATATTTATCGTCTGCGATAATAATGTAACTGTTGTTTTAACGATATGCGAGCTGACATCGTCACGTATGTCAAGCAACTCGCAAAAACTAACAAAAACACATCTTGACAGTCCAAAAGCATTCACTGCGTGATGAAGCCTAGTGGAATGCAGTTAGAACGCTCTTATAATTCAAGTAAAGTAATGAAAGAAAAATCTATCCCCATTTGTTTGGTTGTTGTTTTTTTGTAAATTTGTAAGATATAGTGATAGAGTTAAGTAATATCATACAAGCATCAGTGCTATTTTCCTAAATATTAGCGCATTAGTGTGATCACAAATGTCATATTAACTTTATGCAACTGTTCAACAAACAACAAGTTAACCTTTAAGACAGAAAATTAGCTGGGGGTTTTTTTCAGTTGGCCAATGAAAATAGTTCCAAACAAAGCCGGAGAAGAACATTTGTGCATCTCAGCACAACAATGCTGTGTTTCATTCCTGAATAAATATGTTTTTGAACAAATCACATGAGTCAATGATCTATTCATAAATCACTTACTTCGTTTCTAAATGAATCAGCCGTTTTGAAATAGTCATTTGAATGAATCAATCAATGAATCACTCATTAAGGCAGGGACTTGCAGCACCTACTGGCAGTTTAAGTGTCATATTTATTTATCCATGACAGGCCTAAACCAGCCAAGGTACAAGCACAAAAACACACTCAGCAATATTGGGATATAATGGGAATAAATATTGGGATATAATTTTTCGTCAATTTCGCACACCCCTCAGCCGATCCACTCGGCGGCCATCCGTGCTTTTCAATGGGAAGTTTAAATAATATTTCAAAACAAAATTTGACAGTAATGGTATTAAAATTGTGCTTCCACAGCTAAAATCCAGAGTTATTTTAGTATTATTTATATACTTTTTATAGTTCTGATTAAGATTTGAAATTAGCGTTTATTTTTTTATATGCTTATTTTTTATTATTAATATTAAAATAGCTTTTGTTATTTTTTTTTAACTTCTACTTCAGTTTCAGTTTTATTTCAGTTAGTAATTTTAGTACTTAAGTCTTATAACTTTATCATAACTTTAGTAATTAAGTTAGTTGCCAAGGCAACATTTCAAACTTTCCTTCAGTTTTTCATCTAATACTTACATTTTACTTTAGCTTTATTTCAATTAACAGAAAGTGCTTTTAATAGCTTTTTTCGTAATATCCATTTCATGCTTTTCTCATTTAAGATAATAATTACTTTAAATTATCTTTTGAGGGGCGATTTCTCAGCCAAAATTGATGAGCAACTAAACTGCGATTAGGGATGGGTATCGTTAAGGTTTTAACGGTATTACTACTCTTACCGATGCTGCTTATCGATTCGGTACGGTACTTTAACGGTACTTTTTGTTTTATATATATATATATATATATATATATATATATATATATGACAAATTAAGAGCTGAATTAACATTGCTTTAT